CAACTGAACCTTAGCATTTCCTGCATTTATGACTACAGGCAGCAACCAGGGTGATGGGCGGGCCCTGGGCTTGTGCATAACCCCAGGCGGCTTAGGCTCTCAGTGTTTCCAATACCATTTAGACACGTCATTCCTACTACACTGTGGTAATTCTTGCTCACTAGGGCAACCTTTGACTTTAATGGATTAATAAAGAAACACATCTGTTAACACATCAACGGTTTGGGGTTTTGATAAATTTGATAATGGTTTTGTAATATAATTCTTTTCCTGTGTGACCCTATGTATATTATCTTAAGCACTTAAAAGCATTGTTCTGGGAAGGGGCCCATAAGCATATGCGAAGAAGTCCATGACCCGAAATGATCAAGAACCCTTCTTTGGGATCTTCAGATCCTTGAAAGACTCTGGGTTTTGAAAATGCACAGAGAGGGAAGACTGTCAGAACAGTGCACAGATCACACATCCTAGCCCCAGAAGGTGGAGAACTGCCTCCAATCCCCCACTTGGGATGACATCTTCCTGCTTCTGGAGTCTCAGTCCAACACGGCTAGTTTTGGTGAGGGGGCAGAGCAGGATCAGGAGCCACCATGGCCATATCAGGAAATAGTTCCAGTCTGGTCTATCATTCAACACCGAGCCAGACTCCCCTAGCAACTCAGCTGACTGAAGAGCAACAGATTAGGATAGCTCAAAGGATAGGCCTTATACAACATCTGCCTAAAGGAGTTTATGACCATGGAAGGGATGGATCAGAAAAAACGATCCAGGAAGGTGTTATCTGTGTGATGGACTTTGTTCATGGCGACCCGATTCAATTTCTGCCGTGCATGCACATGTATCTCCTGGACTGTATGGATGACTGGTTGATGAGATCCCTCACGTGCCCCTCTTTCATGGAGCCAGGTGATGCTGCCCTGCTTTTGTCCTAGGACACTAATTGAGCCCAAGTCTCTGGTTTGACCTCAAGTGAACCATCATTTTTGGTGGTTTTGATCTGTTGTCACAGGGCCCAAAGAACCAGGGATTAGGAATTAAGATCATGCACAAAAGTTTCCTAAAAATTCCTGAATGGCTGCAGATGTTGAAGGAAAAAAAATACGTGATATTTTAGAAACTGAGGGGGGAAAGTAGGGTGGTATTTTTATGTAAAGCTTGACCCAGTGTTTAAAATTATAATTGTATTTAGATGCTGTTATGCTCCAGTACATAGGAATTGTGTAAAGTGTTACAGAAGCTGTGTATGTTTAAATTGTGTGTGTTGAAGATAAGGAAAAAGATAGTGGTTGTTTTCCTGAATGGACTAACTCTCTTTTCCCCCCACCCAAATTTTTTTCTGAAGTTGCTGGCATTTGGATCAAGGTTTTATTAAAAGCTACATTTTATAACACTGGCAC